ATTATCTCATTTTATCCCCACAGCATCTAGACACTATAATAGTCCTATTTTATAGATGTGATATAGAGGCTGAGAAGCTGAGTTACATGCCTGAAGTCACACAGCTGGTAAGAGAAGCAGACAGAGTGTACCAGGCAGTCTGACTCCACAGCTCTGCTAAACTCCCTTAGGCTAAACTAACTGCCTGGTAAAGTTCACTTTGAGGATTACACAAAATGATGCATTTCATAGTGCTTGGCATATTTTGAACATTTAATAAAAAAAACTATTAAAATAAGAACTGTGTAGATTCCAAATCCTAAACTATAATAAATGTAGGGCTAAAGTAGATTAAGTAACACTTTTATCAACTAGGGGTAATTGTAAAACTGAGACATCCTCCCTGGCAAGAGCTTCACTAGTGAAACAAGCAAGTTCCCACAGGAGGGTATAGGTTTCCCTGGGTGCCAGAAGTAATTTATATGGGAGTTACCTTGTGCAGTGAGTGTGAGAACAGAGGTGCATAGGAAAGCAAGGAATCGCTGGAGAAAAGCCTGGCCTAGTCAAGGCCAGAGGAGGGCTCCTCCCATCAGGACTGCTTGGGAATCCAGCTGGGTGGCTTCCAGCTGAGCCAAGGGAGGTGAGTGATTGAACGGTTCATCCTGACTGCACAAACACACAGAACCCAGTGTCCTGACTCCCACACCAGCATATTGAAATGGGAGGAAAGAAGAGCTACAGGAGGCGGCCGGGGTACTGGCCTCCTTGATGCTAGCATGGCCTCCTCTATCATCCCCACCCACCTGCAAGGGCTGAGCCCTGTGGCCTCTGTTTCTCATGCAGACCACCTCTGCTTAGAATTACAAATGACCCAGTGGAGGCACTTAAATACAATAATTAAATAAGTTACATGAAAAAATAATATAATGATAAATATATTAGGGGATTCAATGAGATTGGCAAATTCTCAAGATGGGACACAGGACTTTAAAGAAACCTTTTGTTTCTGATAGGCACTTTAAGTGCCATCTCGGTTAAATGCCAGGACCTAGGCACAGAGCTCTTTCATCAACCCAGACATCCTGTACCCATTAACAGTAACTCCCACACCTTCCGTCCCTTATCCCTGGCAACCACCATTCTACTTTCTCTCTCTTTAAATTTGACTCCAGGTCCCTCATATAAATGTAATCGTCCCATATTTGTCCTTTTAGATTTGGTATATCCCATGTAGCATAGCATCTTCAGGGTCATCCATGCTGTCCCTGATGAGTCAGAAATCTACACCACAGCATGGAGGCGCGCACACACACACACACACACACACACACACACGTGGCCCTCTGGGTGGTTTCCACACCTGGGCTGTTGAGAATATTGCTGCTGTGAACAAAGGTATACAAGTATGCTTGATTCCTCGTCTTCAACTCTTTTGTACATGTAACCAAAAGTGGAATTGTGGAATCCTATAATTCTGTTTTATGCTTTTGAGGAATTGACCCTGTAATTCCAGAATTAGTTCTCAAAATAAGCTTAAACAGCTTATTTTGCCTCTTTAATGTACTAGCTTACATTTCTCTAAGCCACACCTTATTTGCTTGTTCCTTTTCATTTACCAAGGTATTTAGAATTATGATCTTATGTCCCACAGTACTGATGTTCCTTCCCCAAGATATAAATTTTGAACCTCACTCCTTGGAACAATCTTCCATTTTCCAAATTAGATGTACATTTTGAAAGGGTTGGTGGAGGCTGGGGGAGAAAGCAAAGTTTTAGGGGGAGAAAAATTTTGCATTTTTCCATTCAATATCAAGATAAAAGTCTGATATAAATCAGGTAGACCTATCAGGAAAAGGGGATTTCTTATTTACAAATGTTTCACATAGGAACATCCTGGCATGCAACAGTTGCAGACATCAGGAGTCACACTCTTGCAGTACCTAAGGAGATCTGTCCACTGCCTTAGGGATGGTGATCATCTGGGACTCTTTTTTTAAGATTTTATTTATTTACACATTCAGAACTGGAGTACAGGACAGAGGTGCAGGGGCGGTGAGGATTCACCAGAGACAGAGTGAAAAGCAGAACAGGCAGATGGACAAAGTACACTGTTGAGGCAGTGGGCATGACAGGAGAGGTCTGCTGGGCCATGTGGATCACCTTGGGGCAGAGATCGAATTTGCACTGAAGCAGCCACAGCTTGGCTTAACTTCGTAGTGCAGTGCGGTGCTCCAACCTGCTGCGCCACCAGGGAGGGGCCTGAGACTCTTACTTTTTAATTGACAGCTAGACCCACCTTTCTTCTACTTCCATCCCCCTTTCTCCTTGATGTTGAAACTCTAGGAGTGCCACCTCACTGTAGTTACCTGCCATTGTAGTAAAAACTTCTATTCGCACTGGAGGATTGGGTTCCTTTAGAAGCAAAAGAATCTCAGTTGGGACATGGCATGACTTTATACACAGAAACAATGCTCTTTCACATCCTAACAACCCTGCCCATTCTCTCTCCTAGTTACTTCAAAAGCAACTCTTCTCCCCTGCCTCCTCAGCCTTGGGTAAGACCCTCACCTAGACCAATGCAGTGGGCTCTGAGCTGGTCTCTTCCACAGTCAGGATTTCTGTCCCACACTTCACACCTTGGGAGAAATCTGCCTCTCACCAGCTCAATGTCATTGTCACCAGAGCTTGAGCTGTCAACACTTAAAGAACCTTGGCAGCACCACACCACACCTCTGCTGGATGGCTCTGCAACACGGTCATGTTTTCTGTTTTCTTTACATTTTTTTAATTTACTTCTTGTCTAGTTTATACCTTTCTCATCTATTGCTTTTTATGTTTAAATACTCTTGTTTGTTCAGCTAAAATAGAAAGATGACTACGGCCCATACCATCCATATAGTACGTTCAATAGCAGTGGGAAGGAAGTTAAAAAGAATAAATTACAAGATATAAATTATCCATCATCCCCTTTTCATTTTAGTCAACACTGGTACTCATTTTCTCCTTTTTCAAGACTGTTCCCTTTTGAGGGTGGTGTTGAAAGCAAACAGTCATTTCTTGAATCATTCTAATTCTTTCTTACTTTCACTTTTTAGTCTCCATCTTCAGCATCTGAAGAGGGAGATTCTTCAAACCCTCTGCACATCTAAATCTCAGAATGCGGATCTGAAACTGTATTTCATTTCTAGATGTTTGAAAAAGCTTCTTGGTTCTTGCTTTATTAATCACCATCTGTCATTTTAACAGCCCCTCCCTACAATTTCCAACCTAGAATACCACCACCACCACCACCAAAATCTGTTGCAAATATTTTTGTAAACAGCCTTAAATGCTTTTAATGGTAGGTCAACAGTATATGTTAATTAAGTTAAAATTCAAGTGGCCATTTGTCCCTGCTTATGTAGTTAAGAACTTGTCCGGGTTGATGTCTATTGTCCTGCATATATATACTTTAACCTCCCCCTTTTACTTTAAAAAAAAAATCTAGTTTGGAGGATAAATTTTATGCTCATCTTCGTTAAAAATACGACTTTCCAGGCCCTCCCTGGTGGCGCAGCCGGTTAAAGCACAACACTAAGAAGCTAAAGCTGCTTCAGCATGAATTTGATCCACGCCTGGGAGGTGATCCACATACGGCAGACCTCTCCTGACCCGCCCGCTGCCCCCCTCAGCAGTGTACTTAGTCAATTTGCCTGTTCTGCTCCCCTTTCTTTCTCTGGTGAATCCTCTCACCACCCCTGAACCTCTGGCTTGTACCCCAATTCAGTATGCATATATAAATAAATCTTTAAAAAAATAAATACGGCATTCCTTCTCCCTCCCCCAGTAAAGGGCCCTGCAGGTTATACAATGATTTTGGCCACACCACATTGTTGCACTTTATTTGCATAGCAACTTTGCAAAGTAAGAAGAGAATCATTTTATCTTTATTAGTTCAATGTAGTAACCAAGGTTGTTTGCAACACTCAGCCACACTCAGTGACAGAATCACCTAAGACTTCTAACTAGGACTTCTGACGTCAAGTCCAATAATGTTCAGCAGCAGACAGCTTTGTGTAAATATAACTGCAAACAGGTAATCAACCTGTACTTGGACCTAGAACAGTTTAAACAGGTTTGCTCTTGCCAGATACTGTCCTTTCACATTTAAAGCAAGCAAAAAAATGAAATAAGAATTACGTAAACATAAAGGCTATTAGTGAATCCTGGGGCCAAATGACATGTATCTTTGATTCAGTGGGTGGAATTACATCAGATTAAGGAGTCAAATTAGGATGTCTCAGTCAACCACACAAAAAGGAGGGAAAAGAGATGAAGGAAGGAAGAATGGAGGGAGGAAGAACAGCAATGATGATCAATGACGATCAATGACGAATGCCTGCTGTTACAGAGCGCATCTAGATGGGTCCTATCTCAATTTTATAGCTTTTTTTCTCCTATGATTATGTACTATTCCTTTTCTTCTTTTTTAATCTAAAATCTGTACTCTCCTTGGAAAAGTGTCAATAAGAAAGTGGAGGGAAAAACCTTCATCCTTCAAAGACAGGCACGGGGCTTGCAAGGTCTCCAGGGCACCACAGGGGTACTGAAGGCACAGCCATGCCTGTAAATGAGTATACACCCTCCTAACCTCCAGCCACATGAGAAGGCCACAGGACCTGCAGCGTCCCTCCCTCTCTTTGCAAGGGCAGAAAGGAGTCTAGTGTGCTTTAGGAAAGATGACTCCAAACCACTGGCTAGCATAGTTGGATCGCAGCAGCGGGAAGGACGTCTCCGGGGCACTATGGGCTCTGCAGCCCGACCTAGAAGGGGGTGGGCGCCCCGCTACGCAGGAGGCTGCGGGATCTGAAGGTAAGAGGCCAGGGGAGGACTAGCGCATTCCCCTGGGACGAGGGGCGGGGGTGTGGAGAGCCGCGCACGCATGCGCCTCGCAGCCGCCGCGGGCCGGAAGAACCCGGCAGCGGAGCCGCTGCTGCGGGCGCCAGACGCCCGGCGGCCACCGGGAGAGCGCTGGCCGCGCCATGCGGCCCCTGGACAGCGCCGGGGCCGCCGAGCCGCAGGAACCAGAGCTGCCGCTGACGGACGGTGAGCCCTCGGGCGCACCGGAGGAGCCGGCGGCAGCCGAGGCAGGGGGGACTGCTGCCCCCACTAGGTGCTGGCTGTGCCGCTCCTCGCCGTGCGGTTCGTGCGCGCAGCAGGGTGAGTGCGGGGTGCGGACCCGAGAGCGGGTCTCGCCCCAGGGGGGCCGGGAGGGTGCCAGTGCTTGGTGTCCAGCCACCGTGGGCTGGGGACTCAGTGCAGATCGCGCTCCCCAAACCCACCCTGTCCGAAGCTCGGGAAAATCCTGCCGCTGTCACCTGGGGGGGTTGCAAAGCCGAAGCCAAATACGCCCCCGCTGGCGCACACACAGGAGAAAGTTTCTGTGTTTGGAGCCTTTCTAGAATTCTAAAATGGTTCATGTAATTAAAGTGTTATGGTAGGACCGTGGAGTCAGATTACTGTCAGTGCACCCAGTCTGAGGTTGGGGTGTGGGGGGGGGGGGTTGGGGTATGTTCAGCTAGAGAGGCCATTCTCAAGCCTGTTGAGGCTGGGAGGACGCCAACCATGACAACTGAGGCCGGTGATAAACAGTGTTCCTCAAAGAGGAAGCTAAAAGGCAAGAACTCTAGAAAATGTTTGGTCCAGAGGCTTAGAATCTTGTGAAGTCAGAATGGAGATGGGCCACAGGTTCCTAACCATTTTTGGGTTATGAGGACCTTTTAGCAACTAAGGCACAATTTTTATACATTAAGAGGTTCCAGGAATCATTCCCAAGGAACCCGATGTGAAAACCCATGGGTCTTTTTCAACCTAGTTTTTTGATAAATAAGGAGAGATGCCCAGGTGAAGGTGAGGATATGTGTTAATAGGGGGGAGAGGGGTGTTGAGGGGGTATACTGGGGATGGTTTCCCCAAGTCCTGGCCTGTGTGAGCAAAACACTGGTGCACAGGTCTGGGCAACATCAGAGTTAGGATACCAGCTTGCCAGAGACCCATCTCAGGGCTCTTCTACTGATTAGAGAGTGCTGCTTTAGCAGGCGTATTCCTGCTTGAATTCCACCACCCACCTGGAACTGTTTCCTGGGAAGGAGAGTAGGCAGATCTCCTTTCAAGACAAAGTTATATGCACCTCTGGTCACCTCCCCTAAGTTGTGATCGGGATGCCTATACCTCATACTCCACCCTACTTTTCCCTTCTCCCTGGATGAACTTTTCCAATTTAGAGACAATCCCAGAGAGGTAATTCTTGCCCCGTTTTTGTCCTAAATCCGCCTTCTTAATACTTTCTGCTTGGGCTGGTGCCTCCACAGCAGGGATTACCCCAAACTGATTTGACCAGATAGGCAACTTCTGAAGAAGTCAGTTTCTCATCTTATTCTATGACTAAATGTCATTCTGGTGGAACACAGAGTTAATCCTCAAAAAACGCTAACATTTCCCCTATTTGTGAACTGAAGGCCAGTATTGTATACATAGGCAGCATGTGACAAAGTGACAAGCCAGTATGAGTAATTGAACGGAAAAAGGATCTAGTGGTGTCTTTTAACTTCAAAGACAGTTAGCAGATAATATTCCAAAGCCAAATTCTAGTCCAAAAAGAAGCCCAAAAGACAGTTACTTGTAAAGTAATTCCAAAAACAAGATTGCCATAGAAAACATTTTAGATAATTGTGTTGTTGTCATTGAAACTTTCTTACAGTATCATTTTAGCCTGAATCTAGCTGGTTATCTCAACAAAGTCTATTTCACACTGAAACTGTTACCCACTTTCTTACATTCCTGGATAACCTTCACAGTATAGCTATCAGAAGATACTTTTTTTTTTTTCAGGGACCGTATAGATCTTAGACTGAAATAAAGAAAAGCTATCTTAGATATGCGCCTTGTCTCCACCTGGAAGGAGTGGGTTTTCTTGAGTAGCAGTGATTCTTAAACAGTGGAGCTTTATACAGTTAAGAAATTCTGTAGCAAGAAGCCCATCTGGGGCAGAGCATGAGAACAGAAGTTTTAAGTTTCTTAGGTGATTCTAATTCCCAACCAGGTTGTGAATCACCAATTTAAAACAAAGAATAGCAAAACCGAGCAATTTTTCCATTTTCTTTTAAGTCGGGAGATTACACTGTAACCACTTACTTAATTTGAATTATTTAGAGTTGCCAAATTATTATTAGATAAGCTTGTAATAGAATAGGAACATGAAAACATATTACATAAGCAAGTATGTATCATGCTGCTTTCTTGTTCATCTCCATTAACAAAAAGAATCAAAATTATTATTTCCTAAGAGATTGAGGTTTGCCTGAAGTAATACAGTCCCCAGACCCTCAATAAATAAGCAAGTTTGGCTAGCCTTACTAATAATTTCATAATCAGGAAGCATGGATTTTAAGTGCTTGTAGGCAAGAAAATATGAGAGTGGTGTATGTTTTAAGGAAAAAGATCATCACAGTCAAGAGTGTGAAATTAAGTTTTAAAAGAGTTAAAATATCATGTTAAGGGGTCCTCCCTGGTGGTGCAGTGGGTTAGGGCACAGCACTGCAAGCTAGTGCAGCTGCTTCAGTGTGAGTTTGATCCCTGGCCCAGGTGACCCATGTGGCACAGAAGATCTCTCCGGTATGGCCTGCTGCTCCCTTTTGCGTGTACTTCGTCAGTCTGCCTGTTCTGCTCCCCACTGTGTCTCTGGTGAACCCTTTTACCGCCCCTGCACATCTGGCCTGTACCCCAGTTCTGTATGCATAAATAAAATAAATCTTAAAAAAAATATCATGTTGAGATAAAACTTGAGGGAATTTTAAAAGTTTAAATTGGAGAAGACACTTGAAATAAAGACCAAGGAGATGTTTTCTGTCCCTGACCTTCCCTTTCTGTTCTGTTCTAGGGGTGTAGGTTCTATGTATGGGTGGGGTTTCTTTTAAGAAAACTATTTTACTTGGACCTGAATTCTGAAATTTCAGAAGCTCAACTCTAAGGCTAACCACAGCCAAGACATGTATTTTGTGGTGCTCAACTTGGAAGTCTTCTAAGACTTAACTTTTCATGGGCTGAGTGGGTGTGCAGTTTGTTTTTGCAGTAACTAAGGGTATGAGTACAGAACAGAACATGGAATATTCTGGCATCTATAATATATCACCTATTACATGATAGCTTCTAGCTTCAAATCATTCTCTTCAGCTGTGAACCTAGAACAGGAAGATGCTGAGGTCTCTGACCAGAATGGCATCTGTTATATTACAAAGCACAGACTGTAGAAAATCTCACAAAGACTGTTCAGCATCAAAGGGCTAATAGGCAAAGGTATCTGGCTAACATGAGAATCTTGAAATGCATTACTAGTATTTGCATTTTTCAGAGAAGGGCATTAAAAAAAATCATGCAAAACCATTTCATAGCGGAGTAGCGAATGACAAATTCCTGGATTGGAATGACAGTCCTGGTTTTACTGCAAATTGCATGTGTCCACATATCTTTCAGCTCCACCGTGCTCTTAACTTGTAAGGACCAGTAGGGTCCTTATGCCTTACTATCTTCTTTGGTTTTGTGCTAGTTTCAAAATATATACACATTCTCAGTGCCTGGCCTATCTTTTAGGAAGTTCTCTGTTTATTCTGCTCCATTTTGTTCTCTGAGTGAGATAAAAGCAGGGTCTACTTCTGTCTCCATCAACTGAGGCAGGAAGTGGCTGAACACAGCTTCATGTTCATACACTATCATTAATAGGTTGAATACTTTATGACATGGAGAAAGCAAAAATTTGGTTCACATAAAACCACAAAGTTGGCCTCAAATGACAGTTCTAATTTTAAAAAATAAAACCACATCAGGATCAGAGAGGTAAATGACCAGTGGCTGCCGTCAAAGAATTTATGCTCTAACTGAAAGAAAAGTCATAAACCAGAGAAAATTAAAGATTTGATTAATTGTTCAAAATAACAAAACAGAAGCCTCCCTGGATTGTGCCAATTGCCAGTGGTGTCAAACCTGCATCTTTCAATGAGTTTCTCCCATATTCTTTCATTTGGAAAAGAATTCAGGGTCTTCCAAGTACCACATATGAACAAGACAGCTGTGGTCTGAACCCTGGTGTTCACAGGCTTGTAGAAGTCAGGTAATCAAGTAGCCACATAACAGTTATAAATTGTTTTTCCTGAAGAGAACACTCTTCCCTGCAAAGCCCAGTTCACCAGTAAGATAGTATAAAACAAAATCATTTGGAAGCATTTTTCTCTAGCATCTTGGCAAGTGTGTTTTAAAGATTTCTCTTCCTACCTTCATAAACCTTTACTTCTTTTTGACTTATAAACAAAGGATGATTCTTTAATGAGCCAAAGGAAAGACATTTTCAAGGCAAAACTACATTTAAAAAGACTACAGGCTTCAAGTGTTTCCTTCATCAATGCTTCTTCTTGGTGAGAAAAGCGGTTCAGGTCCAGAGAGTGGACCTGCATAGGAGGTAGGACTTGTAACCTGTTTGGCCATTAACACTGTTCCATTTTTCTCAATTTCTTAGTGAAAATGATAAATCATATACTTGGAAATGAGGACTAACCAGAATTTAATCTTTTTCAGAAGCCAAGAAGAAAACACCCTGTCCTGGACTTGGCTTGTTTTACACATTATTGTCTGCCTTCCTTTTCTCAGTGGGCTCTTTATTTGTTAAAAAAGTGCAAGATGTCCATGCTGTAGAAATTAGCGGATTTCGATGTGTGTTCCAAATGCTAGTCATTATCCCTTGCTTAATATACAGAAAGTAAGTATTTCTTAGCCACAAAGTAGAAGATACTAATAAATATTTTGTAAGTCTTTTGGCCCGCCTTAATTGTTTGCTCCACATTATCTGCCTTATCCCACACATAGATTTCCCAATTCTTAAAGTCTTAGGCTCTGATTAATGAAAAAATCACATAGATCCACCCACTGAAGATTCTTATAAACACAAACCACCATGCTCAACAAGGAGAGAAAAAGATTCAGATATTCACCACCCCCCATTGGAGAACAAAATTTTCTTTGTATGTAATGTCCCACCTTGTTTCCTTGGAAGGAAAAAGTAAGTAGCCAAGAGGAAGTAGTAGTGCCTCCCAATGTCCACAGTTTCTTTATATAATAAGGCTGAACTCTCATTAGTATGCTCAGAAGTTTACGGTAATATTTAGGTTTTTCTCCAAGGTGATTTGGAAAGTAAAAGGTAATGTTAAAGAAGGTCTTTTAACACCTTTCCTCAGTTGTGGATTAGAAGGGATGATATTCTTTGTCCTCATGGTGTTGTCAGGGCCAATGAAACTTACAGTTTGGAGTGTTTTGTGTAGAATGTATCAGTACATGAAAACTATTTTTATTTTTCATTCTTACTGTTCTCCCTCCACCCCAGCCACTTTTCCACCTCATGTGGACCCCATCCCTAACCACATGCCAGGTTAAAATTTTATAGGGTATGTGATGGCCTCTACACACCTCTGTGTTAGTAGAACCTGGGGAGAAGAGACTCGTTGGGTCTCTGTTAGCTGCCTGACTTTCTCTTTGGGGGCAAAGATGCATAAACTCTTCTGTTGCTTGCCACCAAAGTCCCCTTTCATCTATAATAATGAGCTGATTCACTTAAAAAAGGTTCACTCTGTATCCCAAGGATTTTTTGGGAAAAGTAAGAAATTCCTGTCTAAGTTTGGAAAAATTACAACATTTTAGGAAATGACTGTGAGACCTTAGAAATGTCTAAGGGTGGCAACAGACCACTGATGTTACCATGATCATCTTCCCTCTTTTATAAGTGAAGCATTGGTAGAGAGAAGACACTAGAAGAATTTTCTTAAATCCTTGACAGTAATCTATTTTAAACCATTTTATGTTTTTCCATTATTGAAAATTCTTAATGTCTCAAAGTATGAACCAAAGGTGAACCCACTTTCATTGCTAACTCCTAAGACCATGGGGCTTGCACGTAGGCCTAGATATGGCCCTAAAAAGGTCCAGCTCTGGCCCAGATCAGTTAGCTATGCTAGCCAGGAATTTAACACTTACCCTCCTTAGTAAATATGCAGTTTGCAAAAATTTGAGTAGTCATTATTATAAATCTGTTCTTTCCCAATGTATTTTATTTCTTTTTCAGTGAGAACATTAAAAGATTATCTCACATTTAATAATTAAAATAAATCTTAACACTAGTTCAGCTTTTACAGAAAAAGTAAAGATAGAAAATTTACATAGCCATGATCAGTAGTAGCTAAATCTTGAAATTTATATTTATTGTAAAGACACATTTTCACTACAGAAAATTTGGGGAAAATAAAGAAGGAAAGTTACTTACTTGTCTGCCTATTGTACAAACACAGTTAACAAACAGTTAACACTTATTATATTTCCCTTTTGTCTTTCTTATAAATATATACATATGTGGGAAATAATATGTATATTACTGAACTATAATTATACTGCTATAGTCCTCTCATTATTGTCAGTAGCTAAACCGAAGACATTTTTTAAAGGTGCATTATATTCCATTATGGGTATCATTTACTATTTCCTTATTTTTCAATACTTGGGAATTCTAAAATGATGTTTAATTCAGACTTATAATTTAAGAGCACAAGCCAATGCCACTGAATATGCATCCTTTACTTGAATTGACAGAACTGGGTTTATAGGCCCCAAAGGTCAGCGACTCCTCCTACTCGTCCGAGGCGTCCTGGGGTCTACGGCCATGATCCTCCTCTACTATGCGTTGCAGTCTACGTCGCTTGCAGACACCACGGTCATCACGTTCAGCAGTCCAGTGTTTACATCTATATTTGCTTGGATATTTCTTAAGGAAAAATACAGCCTGTGGGATGCTCTCTTCACCACATTCGCAATCACAGGAGTGATCCTCATCGTAAGACCGCCATTTTTGTTTGGTTCTAATACTACTGGGATGGAAGAAAACTATTCCGTTCACCTGAAGGGCACGTTCGCAGCCATTGGACATGCAGTGTTCGGTGCCTCGACTCTCATTATACTAAGAAAAATGGGGAAATCTGTGGACTATTTTTTGAGCATTTGGTATTACGTAATACTTGGCCTCATCGAGTGTGTCATTGTCCTCTTTATATTAGGAGAATGGAGTCTGCCGTACTGTGGGTTGGACAGACTATTTCTCATTTTGATTGGGCTGTTTGGTTTGGGGGGTCAGGTGTTTCTCACCAAAGCCATTCAAATAGAAAAAGCCGGACCAGTAGCGATAATGAAGACGATGGACGTGGTCTTTGCTTTCATCTTTCAGATTATTTTCTTTAATGATGTGCCCACGTGGTGGACAGTGGGGGGCGCTCTCTGCGTACTAGCTAGTAGTACTGGAGCAGCCATTCGAAAATGGTGCCAGAGTTCCAAGTGAGGCATCCTCGCCAAAATGCTGTCTTCAAATACACCGTCACCCAGTTCAGAAACCATCACAGACACACACACCTAGAAAGGATGAGTTTACTCCACTGATGATACAGAATGAGGTTCGTAAATTGAGTACCCATTTTGAATATGCTATGTCTTCAGTTAATAGAAATAGCCAGTTGAGTCCAACAATTTTTTTTTTCTTAATCAGCTATTTTTTTGTCCAGGTTTTGGGTTTTTGTTGTTATGGGACTGGCAAGAGGACAACTCATTAGTTGAAAAAAAATTAGGACTATTCTATGTGACTTTTAAAGTGTTTTTTGGTACTGATGGAGTAAAGGTGAGAAAGAAATTCCAGATATTGTTTTAGTTAGTGCAGATGCTAGGGAACTTACTGGTAATAAAGCTGCTATAATTAGTATGTTGATAATTCATTTGAAATGTAATTCCATTTAGGAGGCCAAAGCTAAAACTTAGTATAATAGGTGCCTACTTAATGGTGTTAATAATACAAATGAGGTGGCCTTATTATCAAGGCTTTTATAAATGATTATCATTCTTTTAACTCATTTGTGCCTTTTCATTTTAATGCTGGAATTTTTATATGTAAACTTCAAAGAAAATTTCAAAGCACCAAATTTGGCTAATAGTTTTCTGTTTAGGTGGCATTTTATTAGCAACTATAGCTTTCATTCTATAATTTTAATTGCCCTGTTTTTTGAAACCATACTAAATTTTTCTTAACTTTCTAAGATTTCAGGTCTTCAAATCACAAGAGAAGTCTTGGCATGACTAGCATGCACATTTCCATCCTGAAGTGTTTTCCCCTCACTAAAAATATGACTTCCTATAAATTCTTCTTGAATTTATAGTGTGATGCCAAATAAGATTTTCTCAGGGTTTTATTAGGTTGAACCATATGAAATTGCTGAGATTTTACCTTTTTAACTTACAAACACTGTTGTTTCTTATGGTTTTTCCTAATAGATACCTCTTATACCCTCTAAACCAAATACTTAGAGGACTTTGAAATATATATATACATATATATTTTTTAAATAGCTTTTTAAAGTACAGTAACCTAATTAAAATTATTTTTATAGTCTTTTCCCCTTATAAGTTACATGTAATAATGCTTTATGTTATATGTTAAATGTAAAGACCTGTGCATCATTTGTTGATTGACTTTTGTAGTTTCTTGAAAAAAAAATCAGTTAATTTTTTATATCGGTGTGATATTAAATGTCAGTATTGTACCATTTTACTAGCATAAGAACTCAAAAACACACTTTATATCTGGACTTCATGCCAATACTTTGCATTTAAAGGGAAAATTTAATATTTAGGAAAGCTTGGGAAGTTAAACAGAAAGTAATACAAATGACCCTCTTGTCGTGGTGATTCCTTTACTGGTGAAGCTATAATAACCTCCAACTCTTACTGTGTTAGACCCTCCTATCTAATATTATTTTAAGCCGACAGATTTGAAAGATGATAGGGTTTTTCACCATCTTCTCATCACAGCTCTTCCAAAATAAGAAGGAACTTGGCTTCTGAGGTTTATGCCTGAGTGAGAAAGGATCTTTTCCAATAGTTCCAAGAACGAATGTTTGGTTTGCTGATCTTCCCAAAGGCTTCCCACTTGAAGATTCTTAAATGAAGTCTATGTAGGGGCGTCATCTCTATCATCATCCTAATCCACAATATTAGGGTTGAGAGTTGCAAAAGCATTGTTTTGCAAGTATTTTAGGTAACCATCGAATTGGAGCATTTTAGAGTTCACTGGCTACAAATTCTCTTGCTCTGTAGACAAAGACTCCAGAGAGAAGACCTGACTGAGATGGTTTCCATGGCCTTTCCCCCTCCTTTATTTCCATGACAAAGTATGAAAAGTAAACCACTGAGGAGCTATCTAAGGTAAATTAACTCTCAGGTACCCTTCTCCCAGTTTGTTACTTTATACACTAAGAGAACCTATGGGACCTTGAAAGTTAAATTCTTTTGGCCTATATACTAGTGACATGTTTTATTTCAACAGTGTGGTTTAAGTACTTGAATGTCACAAAATGTTTCTTCCCCCAACTTTTACAGGGTGTGATTCTTAAATGCTTTTTTTAATGTTCAAGGTATATACAAGCATATGTATTGTAACTAGTATGGGGGTGTATATTTTGCAAAAATTGTAGTGTCTATCTTGAGGAGAAAACTATTTTCATAAATTGTTTTATTTTATAACTACTAATAAAATTAATATGAAAAAGTTATGTTTTGATTTTTATGCTATAGCAAATGTTTTATTTAATATAACATTTCGTTTTATCCATGTGCTTGAAGACCACTTTATAAAGGAGACTGAACTCTGTCCATTCAGCTGTGACATCACCTCAAGTTTTGAACTGTTTCTCTGTCCCTTTGATACTGTAATATTAAATTCACTCTCTAAGTCTAAAGGCCCTAATCTGTTGCAGGAGGCTATAGTCTCTTGACCTCCAGAGCTTGGTGTAGCTTACAAGTCTGTACCTTTTGTTCTAATGGCTAATCTGTCACTAAGTCCTGAACTGCCTGTGCTCTTAATGTCTTCTGGACTCCTCCTTTCCTTGTCTTTTTGACTATTATCATTTTGTACAAGACTTGTCACTTAATAAGTAAATTTCATAACAAGATCCTAATTCATTTAACCACGGTAAAATATTCCAATTGAGTTTCTTATACCACTGTGTCAGACCATCTATCTAAAGCCCTACTTTATTGTTACTTAGGTTCCCATGAAACCACATGTCACATTCAAATTATTCCTCTGGCCTTAGTCCCACTTTCTAACCCTATCCCTGCATGTCCCACCATATTCAATTACCAGATCAGTTTTCCCACCAACTCTCATTTACCAAGAGTCATTCCTCTGTTTTCCCTACTCTGTTCTTATCTTCTAAGTCAGCCTCCAAAAGGTCAGCTTAAACTTCTGTTTCTCCCACTGTCTCCAGCTTCTCCCACCTACATTAGTCTACCTTGAAAGAACAAATAAAGCACTGAATTAAGAATCTGAACATCTGGTTGTGGTTTTATCACTTTATAGCTGGGCAACTCACTTAAGGTCCTTAAACTTGTTTTCACCATTTGTTAAATAGAATATTACTTGCCCAACCCATGCTACAAAACACTAAGTCTGAACTGTGGTTAATACTATAGAGTTCAGCACTCACTCTTCAAAATGATGTCTTGTCTGGTCCTAACCTCAAGCATTCTTACCAGGTACTATAGGAACAGTTTTCTACATCATGAACCTCCTTGCTAACACAGAATCGCACTGTGGCCCAGCTCTCACTTCCTGGCTAGTCTGCCATTTAGGGCAACCGAGGGTTTATAGTCCTTAGTCCTTTTATCTTATATCTAGATTGTGTCACCTTTTCAGTTCTGGCTTCAGCTCTGGCTCTCTGTATTATACTTGTCTCTGACTGGGGGGGGATGAGCTTAGTTCTCTGTAAAGAGCGCATTCTCTGCACTCAGCATGACTCTTTAATCCCTTCCTATTCACCTAAGAAGTATATAACTTGAGGGTCTAGTGGGAAGAGAACCAGATGTACCTGATAACACATTGGCCTCTCATTGGTATATAGAACCATGACCAGCATGGGGCACTAGAACCTGGTAATCAGTATCTAGATTGGGCATAAGGAGTTTGGACAGAAGCCGCGCCCCGCCCCCTCCCTAAGCACATGATGGTGCCTTGGGTCCCTTTCAGCATACCTAATATAACTTCCATATTCAATGTAACTTTCATATTCAAGATGTCCTACATGGGACTCTGTGATCCACAAAAAAGACCAGTCCAAGTTTTAACATATTTAGATGCTAGGTTTGGCATGGGACTTGGAAAATCAGTTCACAGAGGACCCATGAACATTGGCACAATTCATCAACTCCTGGAAACTGGTAGTAGGACTTTCTAGCAAGAGGGTAAGGAGCAGACATATCTGGTGTTAAGGGAACACAGCAAATGTGCCACAGAAATCCAATCCACAGAAAGCACTGCCAAGCCCTAAACAAAGTATCTGCCTTTCCACAGTAACATTAAATTATTTTTACTTAGAAAAGAAACTAAAACTTAAACTGAATATGGCCCATGGAGGCTCAGAGCTTCTGGATCTTTGTCTTACTTAGTCCTTGCCAATACAGGAAGATGAAGTGACTGGAAAACTGAAGTTCAGAAAGGTTGACTAGGGTCACCTTCGTTGTAAATTCCAATGCTCTCACTCATAAATGAAGCTGTGATACTTGACTGAAGACTTTGACCTTTCCAATATGCCACGGATAGATGCCTAAAGGTGGGAGTGCTTTTACCAGGGAGAAAATTTTTGATTACTATTTCAATTTGCATGATAATACTTTTAATTACTAGTTCAATTATTTAACTTCATACCTCAAACCTTTGGTGCCCTAGAAAGATCTAGGTTTATCCTGGATTTCGTGTGTCCTCTGTCATGCTGTAATGTAACACAATTGACTCCTGATCTCCATTTTCAAAGACATGGCCTAATAATTAAGTAGCTAAGTCTTCTTGCAACTGAACACTACAACTTATAAAATCACCAGCCCTTATTTTTTGTTTATCCATGTTATCAAGTATCCATGTGATTATAATTTGGAATCTCATGTACATTAAGTGCAGAAGATAATAGATGAAACAAAAGATTAAGCATCTGGTTCCCTGAATTGTTATATTCCTCTTTTATGTATTAATAAATTAGACATTGTTCTGCATATCAGTCAGTTCCCAAGTACTTGGTTACTGTGACTTCCCAGAAAATCTATTATATTCCCAGCATACCCCTCATTCCCTTTCCTCCAGATAATCCTCCTGTAATCTCAGAGTAATTATGCTAACTTATAATAAACAACTCTAACGTCTTAGAGATGTACCAATAAATATTTATTAGTTACTTCAGAATCTTGTTAAGATGTAAGTTATAAGCTCATCCAGGATATAATCGTGATCTTTAAAACAGCTTGCTACAGATTTCATGCCTATATAATCTTGGACATGGAGAAAATCCTGAGAGAAAAGATAAGAGATAAGGTTTTCTTTTGTGTACAAGAAGAGGAAAAGGAAACAGCACTTGGTAACCACATTGCATATCTCTGCTATAGCCACCTTCCTCCAGAGAACCACCTGCACCCACTGCCTACCATTTGAATGGAGCTACCACTACAGCAACACACTTCCAGTGGCCTAAAGAGTGGGTGGGCCCATGACTTAAGTTAAACAAAGTCAATTTCACTCTCTTGGTCTTTGTACATTGAGCAGATTCACGAAAGCAGAAGGTACAGCAGAAGAGTTGTCTGATGGCAGTGTCCAATAAGTAGACCATGTGTGCTGGCTGCCCACTTCTTGTGGTGTGCTGAATTCTGTGCCTCCTAACACATATCTAATTCTTTTATCATTCTAATTAATCTCCTCTTGTGATTAAGTTAGAATTTGCCTGTCACTGGCCTCTAAAATATCTTGATCAATACCCAATATTTGCTATCTATATACTGACCAACCAGGTTCTCAAGACTCATCCCAGAACTGTCACAAATTCACTTAAACGATGCCTCCCTTTGGGGATATGATAGAGTGATTTACCAACCATTTTCAGTTGAGGCTTCTTTATATCACTATATGCTGTCTTTGATAGTCTATCACATGAGAAAACAGTAAAA